GCCCGCCCGCCCCCTGTCTCGTACGTCTATGTCAATAAGGCATTTCCAACATGAACATAATACGAAGCGAAAGTGAAAGTGAAAGAAACTTTAAAGAAAGCGTGCTAATTCTCGTATTTTACTCGTATGTACTCGTATTTTACTCGTATGTACTCGTATGTACTCGTATGTTACTCATGTGTACTCGTATGTTACTCGTGTGTACTCGTATGTTACTCGTGTGTACTTGTATGTTACTCGTGTGTTACTCGTATGTATTCGTATGTACTCGTATGTTACTCGTATGTACTCGTATGTACTCGTATGTGCTTGTGTGTTACTCGTATGTTACTCGTATGTACTCGTGTGGTGTTTTAGTCACGATCCATTATTTTTGATAATGCTGTGTGCACGCTGCATTATTTTTAATAATGCTGTGTACACGCTGCATTATTTTTAATAATGCTGTGTGCACGCTGCATTATTTTTAGTAATGCTGTGTGCTATTTTAGCCCGTATAAAAACATTTACCCCTGGGAATTTCCCTACAATCAAAAAAGACCGCTCCCGTTTTTCAGAAGAACGCTAAAATTTCTCGACATTGAACATTGAACATTGAACATTGAACATTTATTTAAACACGGTAAAATCTTCAGTGTAGAATAAAATACAAAAACTATTAATAAATTTCACACATCACTATATACACACTAATTTCCTAACTAAAATGCACTGTTTTCCAAGATTGCCGTGTGGGGATTCCATTATAATGTCAAGAATTGATTAATTTCATTTTTGAAATGCCTCAATGATTTGGACGTACGTGCAGTTTGAGGAAGCGCATTCCATAAACTTGCTCCACTGTAGCAGAAACTACGCTTCATAAAGTCCGTACGTGGTTTTGGTAAATTTAGCTTCATTTCTGCATTTCTTAAGTTATAATCTGTGCTGCGAAATGTAAACATGTTTTGTAAATACTCTGGCGTTAGCTTATTGATAGTTTTAAACATTAATATAGACTTGTGCTTTTTCCTACGTAAGGAAAGATTGTCCAAATGCAGTTTCTCTAAGAGAATGCTAGAGCTGACATCGTAGTTGGATTTCGTAATCACTCTAGCAGCTCTATTCTGCAATTTTTGCATTTTTTCACATAATGTTGCGCCAAATTCGTCCCAAATGGGACTACAGTAATCAAAGTGAGGTTGAATTATAGCGTTGTAAATTTGGATTGCTGTTTCAGTTGATATAAATGGTTTTATTCGCTTAAGAGCACCTATAGCGGAAGAAATCTTTTTACACTTCATATCAATGTGTTTAGACCAAGACAGATTTTTATCAATAATTACACCTAGTGATTTTGCCTCATCAACTTGTTTAATCACATGACCATCCAGGTCAATATTGATATTTTCGTTAGTGTGCGCATGCATACGTTGTCGAGATCCTATTATCATAAATTCTGTCTTGGCGATATTAAGGCTTAATTTGTTCGCTTCCAACCAGCTTTTCAATTTTTTTAATTCCGAATTAATAACATTTTCTAGTGATACATTTGCCGATATAATGCAGAGAGAAAACAATAGGTTATTATGACCGTCAGTAGTTATTAACATTTAACCGAATTTAGCCGTTGATTGACAACTACATAAAAATACTAACCAATCCGTTTTTTCCGTTCACCAGCGGACGGGTAATTCAAAAACCCCTAGTTGTGCGGCAGACGGTATTTCCTTTGCCTCCCTAATTTTCGCTGCCTGTAGAAATACCGGCTGCCACGCAGGCTAGTAATTCGAAGGTCGCGGGTTCGAGACCCAGCCGCGGCAGACAACATCTTTCTGCTTGCGCTGGGTATGGAAATTATATAATACACACTCTAGAACATTTTCATCTTAACATATTACACAGCAAAAAATCGTTTTCTTATTTCAAGAAAAAAAAAACTTGTTTCAAGAATTATTTTCTTAAAACAAGAATTTTTTTACTAGGGAGAATAGCGAGAAATATTTTCTAACTGAGAAAATATTTCTTAAAATATTTCTTAAAATAAGAAAAAACATTTTCTTGTTTTAAGAAAAATATATCTCATTTCAAGAAAATAATGAAACATTTTTCTAGTGCACTTTTTCTTAAAATAAGAAATTTTTTTAGAACTAGAATATTTTTCTTAAATTAAGAAAACTTTTCTTAAATAATAAGAAATTAAATCTTAAATTAAGAAAATATAACTTGTTTTAAGAAAATATTTCTCAAAACAAGAAAATTTTTACTACGGAGAATAGCGAGAAAAAAATTATAATTAAGAAAATATTTCTAGATGAATCATTTTCTTGTTTTCAGAAAATATATCTTATTTTAAGATTAACTTTCTTAAAACTAGATACTTTTGACTAGATAAAAAAATAAGATAAATTTACACCTAACATTCTCAGTTTAAGAAAAAAACTCTCATTCTAAGAAAATAACTTGTATATATACTGAAATTATAGTAGTTCTGATAGCACAGCAATGTGTTGTAGTGAATTGAGTTTCTCCCAGGGTTTTTTCCAGGATTGTCTCTTGGGTCCGTTTTTCTCAGAGAAGATCGAGTTTAGCTGAACAGTTGGGGTGGCTGCACCAGCCCCCCCCCCCTACCGGAGGGCTGACACCTATACTCAATAAATGTAATTGAGAAGGAATGTGTTAAAACAGGGACACTATAAACTGGTTAAAGATGGATTGTCAGGCTTCCAACTGAAAACTAATTTCCACACGTCACAACATTTTATAACTCAAACAACTTCATTTGCACTAGTTACTGCACTGAAACTTTGGTGAGAAGATTGAGTTTCAAAACTCAATTCAAGATTGAGTTTTTGGGGCCGTTTAAAGGGCCCTAAAAAATCCCTGAAAAAAACCTGGTTTCTCCTGAAGCCATATTTTGTTTAACATTTTGTCCATTTCACAATCAATATTATTTCTTCATGTACATTTAATTAATACTGTTCCAAACACAGCATGCAATTGCCATCAAAGATCCATCATCTTAGAATCTGTAAAAGGAAAATTTTACTTATTGAAGATGTAATCATTACTTTTTACAAAATATGCCAGAACAATGACCTTGAGACTTATCATTAACCTACAGTGTAAAAGGGACTACGTAACTGTGGATGTAATAAACAGCCTTTATTTAACCAATAACAAAGCCAGTTCATATTTGTATGTACAAGGTGATGCAGGGTATGACAAATATACATATGTTAACCAGAGACAGGCTTTCTCCAGACCTGTACCCAGTAGACCAGGGGTTTTTTCAGGGATTTTTTAGGGCCGTTAAACGGGCCCAAAAATTCAATCTTGAATTGAGTTTTGAAACTCAATCTTCTCACCAAAGTTTCAGTACAGTAAAAATGAAGTTGTTTGAGTTATAAAATTTTGTGACGTGTGGAAATTAGTTTTCAGTTGGAAGCCCGACAATTAAGAAAAAATGGCTGGAATTCATCTTGCAACACAAGAAAAACTATGCATTCGCCATCTTTAACCAGTTTATAGTGTCCCTTAGTGCCCCTGCTTTAACACATTCCATCTCAACTACATTTATTGAGCATAGGTGTCAGCCTCCCGCGGTAGGGGGGGGGGGTGCAGCCACCCCAGCTGTTCAGCTAAACTCAATCTTCTCTGCAAAAATGGACCCAAGAGAAAGTCCTGAAAAAAAACCCTGTAGACTACTATCTGGTGCCATTAGGTATCTGGGCACCACCCGCTACCATCTGGTATTAGGCAAACCACCATCTGGCGCAACTTCTTCTGGCAAAGACCTTGGACCCATGTTATTTTAAAAAGTAATAACCAATAATCACTATTAATCAGCAAGCTTAGTTTCACCAGACACTAAATTTTGTTGCATCATACTTTATTATTTTACTCTGTCTAACACCAGATAACTTTACTTGTCAAGGGGAAAGCAGTCGTGCTCAATGGGTTAATCAGACTATCTGCCCATGTGTCAAATTAACCATTTAGTTGCATTGTGCACTACTGTCTAATAATTATTAGTTAGCCAAGTAGATTATGTCAATTAATTTATGATCTGTCATGCAACAGTTCCAGTTTAAAGGGGAATATATCTTGTGGACTAAATATGATACTCAACTGACTGTCTTCTCTTAAATAACTTTAAATCGTTACACAGTTAGCATCACTTTAGTGCAGTAACATTACATTAACCCTTTAAGTGCCAATGCACCAAGATGCGCCCTACTTTATTATTTTACTCTGTCTAATGCCAGACGATTTAACTCAGGGGAAGAGTGCTGCCACTAATTGGGTTAATACATCAGGACCCTGGACATGTACAATTGTTTGGCATTGAGATAGCAAGATTGATCTAGTAGGGCGTAAAAAATACCTGTGGTTTCGGTTTCATATCGCAAAAAAATTAGGGTTGGTAGGTCGGAAATACTTTTTTTTAAAATATTTTTTCATGGATTTTTCAATAATTAGTGTGACAACAGATGTCATTTGGCAGCAGCCCACAACCATCTGGACAAAATTGGGTCGCACAGTCAATCACTTAGAAAAATAATAGGGTGGGCAGAAAAAAATAGGGTCGATCGGGAACCGGAACCACAGGTATTTTTTTACGCCTAGTATGGCACAGATAAACTTGGTACTTGTACCAAATTTATCCATGC